ACTGCACTCTTCCTGCCCCCCTTGTTGACGTCACCCGGCCACAGAACGGGGAACCCCCCCCCCCCACACACACACATTTCTGGTAGTTGAGTCAACCATTATCACCAAATGAGAGCCAGGTACAGAATCAATCAATCTTGGCATAGGCAGAATGTGAGCTTACATATACACAAATTATACATCACACACAATGAAGGCTCTCGGGAAACTAGAGCAAGGCATGTGGCATCTAACCTCTGCGTTCTTCTACTCCTAAGCAACCAATATAGGGAAACAACCCATTCAGACCCTTTTCTAGCATTTTAAAACCTGTGACATAGTTTTATAAAAGACTGACTCATTGTGTTTTATCACAAGATCTCTGGGACGAAAGGCCCAAAACGCCAGCAGTCAGACAGAGCTAGCCGATGGGTGGAACCCCCACGACCAGAGCGTATTACGACGACCTGGTCAGTCTCTACCATTACCTTTGCCAAATCCGATAAAGCTATAGCTGAGAGCAAAGGGAAACGGGAGCCAGAGAGACGTGTGAAACAGTGGGTCGGCGGGCCCGCCCGGCCAGAGTACTACGATACCCGCTTGCGGTAACGACGTCCTGGGGTAGTTTTAGCGCAGGGCACGGTAACCCGAGTGCTACCCGAATTAATTAAACTGTATTCTTTGTTAATTCACGCGGAGACATCGTGGCAAAACAACATCTGCACCTGGCCCTGCCAATGTCTGGTTCTTTTCCGTCTACATGTGTGTGTGTGTGCGTGCGTGTGTGTGTGTGTGTAGGGGGGGGGGTGTCGTCTTTTCTTCAAATAAGCCACACTCACTGTGTTTAATCGTCTGTTCTGAACGTGTAAACATTGAGGAGTGTTTAGCTCCTCATGGGACGGATAAAAAAAATCAGTAATGCAATAAGTTATTTCTTCAACGGCCTATAACGTGCTTCGCTACCACTGATACCACACGAACATCCTATGAGTAAACAGGAACCCTCCCCCCTCCCCAAACACACACACACACACACAATCTCACCCCTTCCCTTTTACACCCCCCCCCAAAAAAAAACAACAACAACCAAACAAACAAAATGTAAAAGAAACAACAACAACAAAAAAACAAACAAACCTATTACATAATGCATCCAAATGCAAACAGACAAACACAAAAGTAATCAACTGGACAGAACAGCCAAATCCGAGCTGAAAGGAACAAGACGCGTGTATCAGAAACATTTTTCGGAAGCAGTAGGAACATTCGCATCGGGATCGCAACCCTACAGCGATGGATTTCCCATCCCCATGTAGGAAAAGTTCGCGAGAAACTACAGCAAAAGACTAACAATTCTTAGACTATAAATCAATCCTTGAAAAAAGAAAACAAAAACAAACAACATTTCTAGTAACCTTTTGGTGTTCCTGCATAATCGTTTTCCCTTTTTCG